GGAGATGAGTGGTACCCGGTGGAGTCTTCTGCTGTTGTAGCCCATCCGCCTCAAGGTTGTGCGTTTTGTGGCTTCACAAATGCTTTGCTGCATACCTCGGTTGTAACGAGTGGTTATTTCAGTCACTGTTGCCCTTCTATCAGCTCGAACCAGTCTGGCCATTCTCCTCTGACCTCTGGCATCAACAAGGCATTTCCGCCCACAGAACTGCCGCTCACTGGAAGTTTTTTCTTTTTCGGACCATTCTCTGTAAACCCTAGAGATGGTTGTGCGTGAAAATCCCAGTAGATTAGCAGTTTCTGAAATACTCAGACCAGCCCTTCTGGCACCAACAATCATGCCACGTTCAAAGTCACTCAAATCACCTTTCTTCCCCATACTGATGCTCGGTTTGAACTGCAGGAGATTGTCTTTACCATGTCTACATGCCTAAATGCACTGAGTTGCCCCATGTGATTGGCTGCTTAGAAATTAAGTGTTAACGAGCAGTTGGACAGGTGTATCTAATAAAGTGGCCGGTGAGTGTATGTATATAATTAATAACTGCAGAAGGAACTATACTATCCTGTTAGATTTTTGTATATATAAGGAAAAGACGGAGGATCTTTGGATATATTTTCTGTGAAGCTTATTTGTACTCTTTATATTTCTCCAATGAAAAAAAGAATGCATCAAGCTTGCACTTCATTTGTTCCCATTTTGCAACATCAAAGTGTATTCTCTCTAGGTGGTAGTCTTCTTTAAATCACACCAGGACATACCTCAGAGACCAAGCTGCCCCATTATTTGATAATGATGGGCATGACACTCTTTTAATTTATAGCTGCCATCAGCCTGCTTGCAAAGGTAGGGACACTGTGAAGCTATTCTTGGAAGGACACTTAATTTCTAAAAGCCCGTGTTTTGAGCTTTCACTCCCTCTTTCTATCACCTTATGGTCAGGTGACGTACCAAGGTGTGGGGCATTGGGATTTACAACAAAACCACATGGATACACTAGATGACCTGTGAGATTGGTGTAATGTATTGCTGCTATAGGCTCTTGTTCTATGCCTCTTTTCATAGCCTTAGTTTGAACTGATCCTGCGCTCTTTAAACTTTTTGCTAGTTTTTCATGGTCAGCTCTCCTAGAGCAGATTCTTTAAAAAGAAGTTGATGTGATTCGGCCAGACCTTGCGTTAAACCATAAGTTGTTTGTGTTCTGTTCTCTGGTCTCCTGTTCCAGAGCTATAGAATCAGGCAAAGAAATGCTCAGTTCTGTGTAATGATGCATGGCACTTTCATTCAGCACTGTGCAGAAGCCAGTAGGTTGGGATGGCAGGGGAAAGTTGGGCAGGTCATCTGGTTGTCTAACTGTATCTGCTCCAGGGTCAACACAAGGCTCTCCATTTTGACTCTCCAGTGGCAGCTGTAAAAGGTGAGAACAATAAATTATAATCATTAATGTGCAAACATATTTTTCTTTACAGAGAGTCCTGAGCACCCCCCACTTCCTGGATGCCAGCTGAAAAGGGAGCCTGAGGGGCCTTTTCTGTATGCTTCTTTTACGGTGTTTCCTGAGTTTGGTCTTTTAATACCACTGTCTTAATTAATCGTGTTGCATTCATATTCTGTGCTCAACTGCTTTTCTGTAGTATACATTATTAGTATGGTGTTTACTAAGTTTGATAATATCATTTATTTATTTTAATATCAGTAATGCATTAAGCCATGTTAGAGTTTCAGAACATCCACGAGGAGGCGGGTTCCGTGACATTTAGCATTTTAACGCTCTGAATGTGCTCAGCAGCGCCCCCTTTGTACCCTTGAAGTGGTCTTCCGCGAAGCCCGCATAGATGCAGGCTCCACGCACTTTAACTACCCAGGAATCCTTGCGAAAGGCCAATCAGACAACGGATGGGAGGAGATTTCGCTCACGGACAATTGTTAACATGGCTGAGAAGAAAATATTTAAGTGTAATTATCATTACGGTTTTTATGACAAGTTTATACAAACATTATGATCATCGACCAGTGGTTGATGTCTCAAACATAGGCTAATAATAGCGAGCTGAATAATACGATCGCATTATGATTCATTAAATAAATAGAACAGAATGTCAGGGCTTTACTGAGTCATATGTAAACACAACAACAATAGGCAGCATATTTCCCCGAACCTGTAGCTCCTGTCCATAACAACAATCAGACCGTCTTCCTGTTTCCGGCGTGACGATCGAGTCTGTCCCAAAAATACCTCTCAATGCGCCCTCGCGGACTCGCGCTAAGGGCCCTATAGGTCTGCACTACATGACGTCACCAAAGTGTGGACTCTGAGGAAGTCCACAAGTCCGGAGTGTGCCATTTGGGACAGGGCCTTAGTTTTGCACCTCATAAATCGCGAAAAGAGTAGCAAAAGTCAAGGCGTGAAATTTTAATTTGCAGTGACAGATTTGAGAAGTTGCAAGAGCCAAATTGAGGTTGTATTGCGAATGTACGAATAAATGCAAATATATAATACATGTTTGTGACTGTCATTGTATTTCTGTGAATGGCATTTTACACATTTGTGACTGCTTGTCTGCAGCTTCAAATTCAGAATACAGGTTTTGTGACTATTATCTGCGTGTGCAAATTTCAACATTCAACTTCAGATTTTTATTTTACAGGTTTTCACATTGGAGCTGTTAATGTTCACATACAAGTACTCTTTTACCTTCATAGGTGGTGTGGGCGGGGCTTAATGGGCGGGGCTTGATATTCCGGGGCGGTGCTATCCCAGACAGCAAGCCAACATTGAATAAACATTGTTTTTCCATCTGAATCATCATTATGGTTGATATCGAAATTTCAATGCAAAATTAATGTTGAATCACCATTACCCTGTCGATGAAAACCTGATGTTATTAATGTTGATGGCAACGATATTGGAACAACATTGATCTATAGTTATCTTTATGATTGATTAAGCATTGATATTTGGTTTACCGGGCGATCGCTGAATGTGTTGAAAAGTCATTGATTTATAGTTGACCGGGAAACGACGCATGTTGTTGAAAAGTCATCGACATATAGTTGAGGGGGACATATGATTGAAAATGCATCGATATGTAGTTGACCGGGAAATATGATTGAAAGTCAATAGATTTTTGGTTGACCGGGAGATCAACGGGTGTCCAACGTTACTGCACATGGATAGGCCTACACTAGATGGTGTAGGCTAGGCCTACTTTGTAGTTCTCTTCTAGGTTATAAAATTAGCAAAACCTCCGAGTCCAGTCTATTTTTGTGATATTTAGCTCAAAATACATGTCTGTAGCCTACCCATTGCTTGTGTCGTGAAATCTATTAACACAGTACTATTTCTTCTGACCGCCGGAGAACACCGGCGGAACCAAAGCTAGCAGTGCTCCACCTAGCGCTACCCACAGAAGTGACCGCGGCGGGCCAGAATTACACAGAAGACATGACTTACCGGTACTTTACTTTATCCAATGCAGAACTGTCTCGAGTTGTAACTGGGAATGCCGATTAGACCATCTCGTCGTAATACAAATCCAAAATATGAATGTAGGCCTACTAGTGCTTATGCGATATCACGATTTTTGCGCGCACTGTTATAGCGCCTGACAAATAATCAGGCTTCAGAGGACATTGAAGTGTAAATGAAGAGTAGCCTACAAATAATTAAATAAAAAGGCTAATAAAAATGAATTTTGTTTGTGTGGTGTGTTCAGTGTTAATACAAGATTTGAAATGTTCTATTAGGCTACGTTTTAACAACCTGGCTGTAGATAAAGCAGGCTATTTAATTTATGGCATTTAAAATTAACATTTAAAAACGATTGAAATTCCATTGAAATCACGTTGATCCTTAGTTCAGTTGAAATGTCAACATTGTTTCAATATTCCTGATAATTGAAATACCATTGAAACTCCGTTGATCTATGGACAGGATTTCAATGTTGTTTCAATATTAAAAAAGGGTGAAAAATGATGTAGAATCAACATCAGAGTTCGATGTTGATTCAATGACTTAATGTTGACAACGGAATGTTGATTTAACATAGTTTCAATGACTGTTTGCTATCTGGGATGGTATAGAGTATTTTAAACAAAATCCCAATATTAAACAGCCCAAACAAAAAGATGAACATACAAATGAATGAGAACAGAATGTGAAAACGCTCTGAACTCATAATTTTTAAAAAGCACGAGACCAAGCATTTTTAAAATGCAAGGTCTGGAGGCGCGTTTTTGTTATTTTAACTAGAATGATGTGTCATGCGCGAGACGCGAGCGCACACGCCTAGTGCGTTCACACTGAAAAACATTGGAAAAGTAGCAGAGGGGAATGGAAAAACACGTTCTGTGTGAACAGCCCCTAATGCCAAAGAATGCTTTAATCAAGACATCTATATCTAGTTTATCTTACATGCATTAAATGAGTGTCAAATCAGTTCTGAGATGCTGGACCTCAATCAGTCTCACGTCACTCACTCCATGCGAGATCGGCTTTTGCCTTATGATATATTAATTTCTTTTAAAGTCATAAAACCATATTCGACAACATATAAAAATGAAATAATCTTTCTAGAGTAATTTTATACAGGTAGAAGGTGTTCTTAAAAAAACATGCTGAAAAACAAAAAGTTATTTAATGTCATGTCATCTTAAATTCCAATGTAGTGAAACAGCTGTCGTCAGGGGGTGCTGCAACACCCTCAGCAGTCAGCACCCCTAGTTGCTGCAGCACCCTCAGCAGTCAGCACCCCTATTCCCGCGGCCATGTGCTTGTCCTGAGAACACAGTACCTTTGGATACAATTATTCATCCAACAGCAATGCAATTAAACATTGTGAGTAGAGCGTTAGAAACAATATTCTAAATGAAGAGATTGCAAAACAACAACAACAATAATAAAACGCTCTTAGAGAAAACACAACTTTTGACTCGGTATTTGTATCAGAAAAATTATTGTATGCCAGAGAGAAATGTCGTTACGTTTGCTAATATTGAGAAACTTTCTGGGCAATGGACATCCTCAACTGCTTTCGTAGAGGAACTTGAACCGCGCCTACTTTGCATGAAGTATAAAGCACTAGAAAATCTAAAGTAGCCTACAACTCTCTTTCACGATAACTGAAGGATGGCCAACTACAATAATGGGAATATACGGAACAATCGAACAGATGACAGCATAAACTGCCCGACAGAAAATGATGACAATCAGCAGGTATATGATCATATCACTTTTAGAAAGAATTTGTATATATAAGTGGGTTTGGTAGGCTATAACTTGCATGGCTTCGGCAACATGGAAACTCTAAAATATGTTGGAACAAATCTAAAAACAGTTGGCATGTGAGTCTATGCTCATTTTTCTGGTGACTTTAAAAAAATTCGGTTACGCTTTATTTTAAGGTGTCAGTGTTACAGTGTAATTATACATTTAAGTACTTAGTATTAATAATTAACTACATGTGGCAGAATAGATGTTGGCTTTGGTCCGCTATTTGTTGCTTCAGGTCTATTTATTAAGCCTATCACAGCTAAAGAGGGTGTGTATATACCTGTCTTGTATCGAAGTGCGTCACGGAGTTTCGTCCTGCTTTTCCGGTTCCACCTGGTGAGTGGCATGCGGGAAGATTGGTTGTTTGGTCACTCTGATAGCATGTAGGAAAACCGGGTATTGTTTCCCACGGCTGATGTGTTTGTAGCCTCTTCGGGTAGGAGCATGGTTGGTGGTAGTGTCTGTCCTTTTATGGCAGTGGGTAAAATCAAAATGCTTTCTGTTCTGTTACAGTGTGCGCGTCGATCTTTCACTTTGGACTGCCGTGACTGATCCTCGCACCCCAAGTATGCAGGTTATTTGTAGCCTATATGGGTCATGTCAGGGCAGTACTTAGGGTGGTGGGGGCCCCTGTGCTTGAGTCACTTTCGGGCCCTACCTTCTATACATTACTTTAAATAGAACTAAATGATACATACACAAGCTATGTATTAGAGCTACACAATTCTGGATAATTTGAGAATAAAAATAGAGATAACGATTCTGAACAAACAACTTAACAAAATAACATAATTTATGTTAATTGCTGAAGTCTATTAAAAAATGTTTAATTAATCTGAATTATTTAAAAAAAAACTTGAATTTGAATGATTCAATTCCTCAATCAAATACACTTGTTTCATAGATGAATCAGCATTTTTTTTAACGAATTTCTTGAATGAACGATTCAATGAGAAATGTTTTTTTTTAAGTCATTTGTCGCCATCTGGTACAATATAATCGATCCAATCTTTATTTGAAGTGCAAAGCTACTTTCGGTACCATAGTGTTACATGCAAACAAAAAAACCCCTAATAATTGATTTATATGACCACTGATTGAAGCTTTACATTTTTCCCCAATAAATAGGCCTAAATAATGATAAAAAAAGTTCAAAGTGATCATGTGTTTATTGCAATGTACAAATGTATTTTGTCAGAATGAGAATAAAACACTTATTTACCTGGAAAACATGTTGAAAAACAAACAAATACCTTGTAAGGTTGCAATCATAACAAATCATTTGTATTACATATAAATAGCTAAATATATGAGTGTATAAATCTTAAAAAAAAAAAAACTGTTCCTGGTAAGGCCCTTACATAGTCAACGCATCGTTACGCATACGCGTGCGCTAGGCTACACATCAGGCTTGTTTGAGATGCGCCTCGCCTAAAATGTAGTCGAGAGTAGGCAGCTGCAGTGAGAGGAGGAGTGAAAAAAGCGCAGGCAAGCCGGACAGATCGCTCTTCTCGCAGTGGATCTGACACCTGTGAGATCAAAGGCGGATATCGCGGGATTAACGGGATTCACGCCCGTGCACGGTGTTGCTAATAAACTGGATGTAATTGAAGTTTTGTTGCTTGAAAATGAAAATAAATATAAGGAACAACCAAAGTACTTATTTAATTCCATTTTAAATAGGCCTATGTGTTTATCAATCATTTTTTCTTTAATACAGATATGTGTTTTTATTTTTTATTTTTATTTAAATCACATCACATAGATCACACTGTCAGAGAGTTTGGGAATATCCACACATAATTTATACACATAAAACATGATATCAGAGTTTTAAAATCAAACATTTTAAAAGAGAACAATACATCACGGTTGTTTAAACCAATGAGCATTAAGCTGTGTCGTCAGCAAGTCGTTTCCCATCGTGCTTTTGATCAGCGCAGTCGGTGGAGAGCAACTGCGCGCGACAGAATCCGACACGTGCGCCTTGCGGTCGCGAGAGTTTTTTGACATACGTCGACATGACATCAGAGCAAGGCGGACCGCACTTGGACACATTTCTAACCGCCATGCATCTCGCACTGATCGGTTCTGCGCAGATTTTGCTCATCTCAAACAAGCCTGGGCCGTTACATAGTCAACGCGAGCAAGCGCGAGCGACGCGAGCTACACGCTCCTTTTCATAGTACACAAGCAGACGCAAGAGTCACCGGCGATGCGTGAAATGCAATACACCGATCGCGCAACAGGGGGTAGTAGAGTCTAGAGTCGGGTCACGTGATATTCAGATCAAAATGTCAACTGAAGAGGAGTGCATATTGCTGATTTTACATCGGCGGCAATACAACAAGCTCATAATAACTTTTCCTCTTCGCCCGCCATTGTATTCAAATCTTCTTCTTCTGTAAACATAATAATATACCTTTTTATGTATATTACAATGTCGCCCCCACCTACAACGCATAGTATTGCGTGCATCGGCGCGTCGCGTATCAAAAACTAGGATGACACATTTGGCTACCCATCGACGCATAATGGCGGCCGAAGCGTATGCGATGTGTAGCCTTGCGCACGCGTATGCGTATGCGTACCGATGCGTTGACTATGGGTGCTTCTCATTTCTTATTTGTGCATCCTCGTTTCCTTTCCTCGCTTCCTTTCCTCGCGTCTCAGCTCCACCCCCTGTAGGACGCGAGGGAAGGCTGCAAGGAAAAAAATGAGGATGGAGGAATTGAATGAAAGTTTTTTTTATACATTGGAATACTTGATCACTCGCGCGTCACTTCACTGCGTCATCAGCAGTGCTCAAAGGATCTGCCCTTATGTTGTTAAAGTTTGTTTATTTAAGAAATTCATAATAAATAATAATAAAGCAAGATACCTTGTTGAAATATGTGAGTTGTGTGGTTTATGTAAACTACAAAAGTAAAGTATAAATTCAAATGATTGTGTGACAGATGTGAAGGGGGAGGAGAATTGATACGTGCGTCATGTTTAGTCGATAAAACTCTTCCGCAAAGGGTACACCTGTGTATCCTCGCTCATAGCTCCTCTGGAAGCCTCCTCACTCCTCGATCCTCGCCTCCTCGCGGTGCAATTAGAGAATTGAGATGTCCTTCAAGATAGCTGAGCTCGATTGGTTTCCGGGTCATAGGATGGAGGACGGAGGAGCGAGGAGACGAGGAGGGATATTGAGAAGCACCCTATGTAAGGGCCCTAAAGCCTTGTTTATACTCGACGCGTCCGCTGACTGCGCGCGCACCTCTCCAAACGGACGAGGCGTTTATACTTGACGCGCTCGCCGTTGTGCTATTCTGTGAAACGACAGGGGGCGACTCGGAGTAATTCTCCTCTAAACCACCAGGAATCAGCAGTGAAGAAGTAGTTTGCCGTTTATTAGTAGTTTATTAATAGCTGATTCATATTAAAAGAGTAATAAATGCAGTAGGTGTATTGTACTTTCTTGTACAAACTCGTTAAACAACTGAAGCCTTATTGAAGAGTGTTTAAACCTTTATTTCATCAGCAGGGCTTACTTCTGCTATTGTAGGCTTATTTTATAAATGTAAGCAGTTACTTTAGACAAGTGCAAACTGGGTGCTTAATGCAAATGTGTTCCTATTCACAAAATGAGAGGCTTTTATGGTCGCCCATCAATGCAAATGTCTCTGTGTATAGAAGGATCATAAACATGCTGGTACAGACGTACCAGTTCGGCCTGATTCGGCTCGAAGTCGTTCATCTTCGGATGCGGCGCTGCGCGCGATGTTACAAAAACTGCCATGCACACCGCCAGGCGAAATGGGGTCTTGCTCTCCCAACGCGCACGACCGCCCACACCGCAATTACGTCATTTTGCCGTGCGCACCTTCGCGCTCTTGCGGACGCGTCGAGTATAAACAAGGCTTAAGGCCAATTTATACTTCTGCATCGGGTGTGCGCAGTAGGTACGGCGTAGCATACGCACAGACGCGTACCATACGCCGTACCCTTCGCCGTAACCTGACGCGCACCTCCTCAAAAATGTAACTACACGTCGCGACGACGCGGACCGCAAGATCTGTGATTGGTCGGCTTGGTAGCATCGCGTTTCCTCCTATGCATTTCCGGCGTGTTCTTCTGCACCGCCCGCCATTTTTAAATTCTAAGTACAGCGAAACTGTTAAAAAAACTAAAAATTTACCTTTTCCACCTCGATAAGCTCCAACTCCAACATGATCTGCTCTCTTTCAGTCGCCATTGCTTGTAGTAACCTAAACTCAAAACAGCCGCGAGGAATCTTCTTCTTCTTGCCGCAAGGAATCTAAACACAGTGGAACATTAAAACCCTCCGCCGCCAACTAGCGTTTCGGCGCTGTACTGCAGAGCAACGCAGACCTAAACGCAGAAGTATAAATGCTCATGACGGCGTCGCCTATGTGCGTAGCCTACGCCGTACACTACGGCGTACACTCGACGCAGAAGTATAAATTGGCCTTTAATGATATGCTTCGGCCGCCATTATGCGTCGATGCGTAGCCAAATGTGTCATCCTAGTTTTTGATACGCGACGCGCCGATGCACGCAATACTTTGCGTTGTCGGTGGGGGCGACATTGCAAGTAATGTACATAAAAAGGTATATTATTATGTTTACAGAAGAAGAAGATTTGAATACAATGGCGGGCGACGAGGAAAAGTTATGTGAGCTTGTTTTATTGCCGCCGATGTAAAATCAGCAATATGCACTCTTCTCATAGACAGTGTTCGCATTTATGAGGAAAAAACAAAGTTACGCCCGTTTCACACATACTCCGTTTGCAGTGCGTATGCGGTGCGTATTTTTTTCCGTACCCATGTTAACAGGTCAGAGCTCACACTGCACGCGGATGCAGTCCGTCGATCCGGTCCAGTTGCGGTGCGTATACAGCAGTGCACCGATCGTTTCCGCACCGATGCTGCGTC